TCCTAATCCTCTTCCGACTTCAAATTTGCATTTTTTTTTTTTTTTTTTTATGAATAACCGTTCACCGGAAAAACAGAAGAATCCAGCACCAGGTCGCCAGTGCGATCATGCGTTTTTCAACTAAACTTGAAGCAGTCAGGTCGTTAACTATATGAATGGTTCTTGCTTTACAATTTTACCTCGTGCGTTCACTAGCGTAAATCATCGTAAATTTTGCATAAAAGAAAGTGAACGATTGCCGTTGAACGGTCGTTCTTTGAAAATGAACGAATTGTTCAGTGAGTTCCCCGCCAAAACTTTTGAGTACCTGTATGTGGGAACCACACATATCGAATGGCTGATTTGAAATCTTTAAGTGGTACTTGGGCAGGGAGCGCTCCGCTAAAATTTCAGCTTTCCAGCCTTTCTGGTTCCTTAGTCAGCAATTCTCCCGCCGAAATTCTCACAGGTTTGTACATGAGTACCACGCGTAACTCGGAGCTGAATCTGAAATCTTCAAACTGTATGTGAGCGAAGAACATTCCCTCAAGATTTCAGCCGTCCAGCTTCTCTGGTTCCTGAGTTAGCAATTTTCACACGCCCGTACGTGAGTATCAAGCTGGATTTGAAATCTTTAAGCAGTACTTAAACGGGGGATATCCCGTTAGAACTTTTGCTTTCCAGCTTTTCTTACACCCGAGTTAGCAATTTTTCACGTGCTCGTACATGGGGCTCATGCGTACGTGAAGGTTGGTGCCACCGTCCTGGAGTGACACTTGGTCGGGGAACCCACTGGCAAAATCTTAGCGCCGGAGCTTGCTTGGTTGTCGGGCTGAAATACTCGGCCACACATACACGCCATGGGTCGTCACAAAATGTGTTTTTGCATTTGCATATATACAACCCAGGCTGGAGCACATCAGGCGGGCCGGTGCGATTATGCGTTTTTGGACTTTTCGTGCCATAGCAAGATCGCAAGGAATCACAGTAGCTAATCCTGTGGTGTATTGGCCCTCGAAGTTCGGGAAGTTAATTGTGCTGCTATGTGGTATGTCAGATGTAGATGTCGACTTCAGTGACTCGACAAATGGAAAGTTGCTGGTCCGTGAAAAAGGCTGCACTAGAAAAGTTAAATTTGAAATCCTTTAGTCGTATATGAGTAGGGGACATCCCCTTAAAATTAAAACCTTCAGTTCCCGTGTTAGGAGTTTTCCCATCAAAATTTTCACTTGTCCGTACGTGATTACTGGACGGTTTTAAGGAGCTAAATTTGAAATCTTTTGGTTATACATGAGCAAGAAAACAACTTTAGGGTAAATTTAGGGTAATGATAAAGTTTCTGCTTTCTGGCTTTTTTCGTCCCCGGGTTAGTGATTTTCGCGCCAAAATTTTCACGTGCCTGCACGTGGGTCCCATATGTTTTTAAAGACCTGATTTTGGTTGTACATGAGTAGGAAA